AGCTGTAATGGGGCATTATCCTACTCCAACAGCCCATCTTCTTTTGATTTTACTAGGGCTCAAACCTTTGTCCACTTTGAAGCCATCTCCTGAAAATGCTGATTGACATTTGATTAATTCTTGGGACCTCTTCAATGATAGGGGTCTAGCTTCCTTGTAGCTGAGGTTCTCCACTTGATCTCAGCCTTAGTGGTGGGCTATTGAGGTGGAAGCTCATTTGTTTCCTGCAAATGCCCTTGCCATCATTGATAGTGGAATTGGTGCAGGTGGTGAGGCCTTCTTAGCCAGCTGATTTTGGCACATCATCACAGTGCTGTTAGCGGTTGGAGTTGCTACAGTAGGTAGTGGTGCTGGTTGAGCATTGTCCATAATTATTTTCTCCTTCCATTACTCAACCACCCCTTGTGGTAACTTTAACATTGGGTAGATCTTCCTCAGCTGTAGGACGAAGTGATACTGATGAACGTGGGTGTACGTTCGGTGTCTTTGCCTCACCATCATTAGACACCTTCTGAAGGGATACTAAGGAGGGGTTCCCGATACCGATACAGGTACCATTTCTCCTTTTAATTGCTGATGTTGCGCAGTTTACAGTAGTGGTTGAGTTGCTGGTAAATTTAGATTGACTAGTATAGCAGAGTTGATTTGTGAATCATCAGGTGACAGCTTGGGTCCTGTTGGAGGGTCCACTACTGACTAGGGCTGCCCAGCCTTGGGATACCACAAAACCAGCTCGACAATTACCTCAGCAAAATTCTGAACATATGATGCATCAGCCAACAATGCATCTTCATTCATTCATGGGTTCTACCCAATTGCTTCTCAAGCTGGTCACTAAAATTTCTGGTTCAATGACAAAGTCTGGTTACTTGCCAAACGGAAAGTTCTGGGTATGATAGTGCCCATCAAAACTTCTTCTTTCCATGACAGTTTAAACAAAGTTCATAGAGTTAAGCACACTAGAATGAGAACAATCCATTGGCCAGTTGAATAATTAGATAAACAGGATGGTAAAAAAAGCTCAATCTTAAATAGTAAAAGTCTGGATTGAAAATGCAAGGTTAGATGAATTCCAAATGGTCTGAAGGTTAGCTAGGTGTGTAGGTTGAACAACAATCATAAATGTTTGGTTATAACCATTAACCCCCGTTAAAACTACCTTTTAGAGTGAGAGTAATCAACGAATTACTTGGTCAAGAAACATTTCTAAATGTTCCACATGTGTTCATGCTCTAAGCCCTTGTAGAACATGTATTCCTAGCATCCATTTGACCAAGATCTTTATATTCATGTTACTCTCTATTAGCAGTCCCATGACAACATCCAATATGTTTACCCTTTGAAACAGATCCATTCCTTCCACTACAGTCTGTTTGTTACATACATAGTGTCTGTTTCCAGTAGGAAAAGAATGGAGTCGAGGCTGCAAAACTGGATTTCACACACATGAGCTGACTTGAGTCAGGTAATGCCAGTCCTTACTTTTGACCATTAGGATACACTAACATTTATGTTATCTTTCTGTAGGAACCTTCTTCCAGTTACATGTTTGGCAGCACCAGTTATGCGTTTACAAAGTTTCACCACATGGATGTTACTTTCTACTTCCACTTATATGCACATTGTACTGAAACAATGTTAAAAAATATTTAGAAAAACTGTGTGCTTTACTATATTTTTTTAAACTGCATGATTGAAAATATTATATCACAATCAGATAAAACTCTAGGTACACCAAGTTAATATTTGTAATGATGTTTAAGCTAAGGGCTGTGAATTTCAGATACTACTCTTAATTTCACCAACTCAAATATTTTGATTCAATCCAATCGAGATTTCATACACTACTCTTACTTAAAAACAAGTAGAGCTGTGTTTCCTTCAGATGCAGTGTAAGTCATTCCATTATCTTTGCCCTTCCATAAAAAATTACTTCCTATTGAATATTTCAAAGTTTTTAATGAAATTAATGTGTAAATTGTCTTTTCAAATAATGCCTTACATGCTAGTAATGACAGTAAACCTAATACCACAAAGAATTAACATTCACATCAAATCCTTTGTTTCCCTTGACATGTTGCTGAATAGTTGTGTTCTTTGTGTAATTGATCGATTCATTTTAAGCAACACTCATGAATGACTTTAAGTAATGTTCCTACACGTGTGAGAGACCACACACATTTATTTATTTATGCATATGTATTGCCATTTAGATATATTTTCATAATATGTTGTCATGTATGCTAGTTTATTTGCTTAAAAAATTGTGCTTTCATGCACACAAATTGAACCATATGTAATACAGACACGTATGCACTAACACTGTATCAATCTCAATATCCCATTTTAACCAGTTCATAATTGCAGTATATATAACATCATTGTTCAGTGACTAGCCTGATAACCATAGTAGCTAACATCAGCATCACTCACACTCTCTGTATGCACTATAATGTGCATAATGCATTCATGTGCCACTTACAGTCACTTTTATTGCACTTTTATTGCACTTTTATTGGCATCTGTGGTAAAGAATTGATTGAAAGCTCAAAATGTACAGAAAACACAAAGAGAGGAATAAGAATGATGAAATTGTACACTGCTTTTCAGACCAATGTCATCGTACATTGTCACACAATTCTTCCAATACGTACATCACTGATCATTTTCTTTAAACATATTCAAAGGAGGTAAACGTGGGCTCATACCTATTTGTACACCTCTTTTAAAAGTATGATCACATTCCAAGAGAGCATTAAATTGGGCGAAGTAAGTATAAGTCCTATGGAACAATATATATATGGTTTGTAACTTTGGTCTAAGCAAGAAGATAAATGCACTAATGAACATTTAAGATATTTGTAAAATCGTTCAGAAGACCCGTAATAATAATTTAGTAAAATTTAACTGAGTAAACAATGATAAGGATATATTCTTACCTAGTTATGAAAAGGTAAAATATGATGATTTATCGAATTATCTCACTGCTTTTTTTTTTTTGCCTCTCTGTGAATTTGTTCTAAAATAATAAAATATTTTGAAGTGATATTTTTAATGCTCTCCTTTTTACAATAACTTCAAGAAGCATTTTATTGACACAAAAGGTTGTGATTATTTGTTTTGAATTTCATGCAAAGCTACTCATGGGCTATCTGCACTAGCCATCCCTAATTTAACAGTAATAGAATAGAGGGAACACAACTAGTCATGACCATCCACCACCAACTCTTGGGCTACTCTTTTACTATTGAATAGTGGGATTGACTGTCACATTATAACATCACACAACTGAAAGGGCAAGTATGTTTGGTGATAGTGATTCGAATCCACGACCGGCCGGTTGCAAGTCGAGCACCCTACCCACCAGACCTTGCCAGGTTCCGTAATTATGTATTTAATCTCAATCTGTAATGCTGGATTTGTTCAAAGAGCATGGGCTTTGTAGTTTCTAGTATTAATGATTACTGAGGTTTGAAGCATGTATGTTGTTTAGTATGAAGTTATAGCTTTTTATATTGAAAACTTCAAGTGAAACATGAAGCAATGCTATGATAGTCAGTTATATTTCTGCATGACTGTTATATTAATGAAAGATTCGACAGTATTGTCTGTATCTTTAATTGCCATTAAATTTGTATTGCTAAACTAGACTTCACCGATCAGAAAATGTATCTTATTCCTTAAAATAAATCAATACCTATTATTTTCATTATTAAAAATAAAAAAAAGTAGAATAGAAAATAGATTTTATAGAACTTATTCTTATAGAGTCTGAGAGGTGCCCGGCATGGCCAGGTGGATAAGGCGCTCGACTCGCAATCTGAG